GCCGCATTGAAGCAGTCATTTCTGCAAAAGGATTCCCAACCAAGTATTGAGTGCATAACTGTACATGATTATTTGAAGGTTGACGTTTTTTGTATTAAAAACACGTTTTTTTTATTGGTCGGATGAAATATGCTAATTTTGTGAGATAGGAATTTTGGGTTTTCATGAGCTGTATGCCAAAATCATCTGTATTAAGACAATAAAAGACCTGAAATATTTCAGTTAGTGTGCAAAGAATCTAAAATATATGAATGTTAAATTTTCATCATGACATTATGGAAAATAATGAACTTTATCACAATATGCTAATATTTTGAGAAGGACCTGTACATCATCAGGGATCAATACTGAACATGTTGGCACAGGCAATTCATGACGTTGTTTTAGCCCCACCCACTAACAAACAAGTGAGTGCAACTTCCATCTGGAAGGTCCGATTTACTCCAAATTTTGAATGCTTTTCGCCAGACCAAAGCTCTGCATGACCGAAGATCATATGACATGTTGCTCACAGTGCCACCTAGTGGCAACGTGTTGAAGTGAAGCAGTGTCATTGTCGGTGGCATGCAGCCGGTGATGCCAGGCTCCCGCGGTCGCTGCACAGGCCAAGTTGCGCTGAGGTGCGAGGGCCTTCAATGCTGCTTCCAGCTTTAATTATTCTTAGTTTTTACACACGAAACTCACCTATTGTTTTGGGTTTCCCCTGGCTGCAGAAACATAATCCTCACATTGACTAGTCCCAGAGTTCCAGATCGAAGCCTGGAGTTCCATCTGTCTCTCCACCTGCCAACAGTTCTCCATTCCACCACCATCATCCAAAGAACTGCACTATCAAACCTACTCCTGGGACTTGGAGAGTCAGATCCTGCAGGCTCTCCATCAGGAACCTGATCCAGGAGGAGGTCCCCCTGGTCAGCTGTATGTGCCTTCTTATGTTCAGTCTAAACAATTCACTGGGCACATGCTTCTCGATTCTCTGGTCATCCAGAAGTCGACTATACCATTGGGTTCCTACAGAGGTATTTTTTGTAGCTATTTTTAAACAAAGATGTTATTGAGTATGTTGCTGCTTGTCATGTCTGTGCCCAAGTCAAGAGTTCCTACCGACCTCCTTCAGGTCTCATTCAGCTTCTAACTGTTCTCAGCAGACCTTGGTCCCACATTGCGCTCGACTTTGTCACCAGTCTCCTTACCTTGAACAACAAGTCTGTTATACTCACCATAATCAATCACTTCTCTGAAGTTTGCCACCTGGTAAGTAACGTGACTTACTTTTCCCCGGATCATCCTCGACCGCAAGAACAGTAAGAATCTCTCTACATTTATACTAACTCCTCATTTCCACTAAAAACCTTGCCTAAATGTTCCTCTCCCGCTTGTGGCCACCTGGAGACCTGTCTCGAGTCCTACTGATCAACTTCTCTCTCATCTTGTTGACAGAAAGGAAAATAAATCTTTTGAACCCTCCCTGCTTTGTTATGATTGTGACCAGTTCAGAATCTTTAAGATATTTTTTCGGCAATAGTGGCCTTTTTTTTAAAAAAAAATTTTTTTTTTGACAGTAGGCAGACAGGAAAGAGGGGTAGAGAGATGGGTAGACATTCGGCAAATGTTGCTGGGTCCAGGACTCGAACCTGGGATGACCGCTTCGAGGACTGTAGCCTCCATATATGGTCGCGTGCTTAGCCCCTACACCATAAGCGCAGTGCCCGACCAGTTCAAAATCTTTAACAATAATTATGACAGATACTCCCACCATGCTGTCAGAAAGCTGATATTGAGTCTTTTAAAGCATACATGTCGTTTTATATTTGAGCTACTAAATGGTAGGTCTGAAATATTATTGCATAATGTTTGTTCTACGCCTAACCAGGGTTTATCTAAATCACTGGCAGTTTAAACCATTTTGAAATGTATTATAGCATATTGGCTAAGAAGTAATGGTGAATGTTAGGCATATCTAGTCCACCTTTATCTTTGGTCTTCTGTAGAGTTTTTAAGCTAATACTCGGGGGTTTTTCTTTCCAAAGAATTTTAGTGATGGAGGAGTCCAGAGATCTAAACCAGTCAGATGACAGTTTATTTGGGATCATTGAGAATAACTAATTTATTTTTGGCAAGACCATTATTTTTACTGAAGCAACCCTATCCATAAGAGATATGGATATAGCTTTCTATCTAGCAAGATCATCTTTCACTTTTTTTAAAAGCAGGATGTGGTTTAGTTTTGTTAAATCTGCCAATCTAGGAGAAACATTAATACTTAAATATGTAATATTCCATGATTGCTGTTGTGTATTAAGGGAACTGTGGAAGGAAAAATATATTGGAAGAACTGTAGATTTTAACCAATTTATAGAATGATCTAGAATAATCTTTAGTTTGCTTAATTGCTGCCACTAGTGGTTCAATAAACATAGCAAATAATGAGAGGGAAAGTTGGCATGCCTGCTGGGGGCCCTTCTGAAGACAAAAACTGGAAGATGTTTGTGTATTTGTCCTGATACATGCTGTTGGGGAACTGTATAATATTATTAACCAATTTATGGATTTTTCAAAAACAAATTTACTCAAGGTGGCAAACAAGAATTTTCCGTTAACTCAATCAAATGCTTTCTCCTCATCTTAAGACATTATATTATATTATATTAGTCTCAATGAATGTACTGCAGGAATGGTAAGTAATCTGTGTGAATTTGTGGATGAATGCCTCCCTTTTATAAAACCAGTTTGGTCAAGATGTATGGGGGAAATTTCTCAGCAAAGTACAATGACAATGGATAATTCAAACTTTCCTGAAGAAAGTGATTTTAAATATTCAGTAGTTTAATATTTACGTCTGTTTCTCTCAACATAAACAACATTAAAATAAAATATCACAATCAAACACATCTTTTCAATGGAAGACATATTTAAGAATTGCATTGTAAATTTGCTAATTCACCTAGTTTATCAAAGATAAAGGTAATGATTTACAATATCACTGTTATAATAACATTTTCAGTAAAATGGTGACAAAGCTAACCTTACATTTTAAGGGTTTGGTCCTTTTTGGGTTAAATTAAACACTTTCTTTTTACTTACTGGAATAGCTATTTATGATATCTGAATCATACATTTCATAAATAAATGCTTATTCTTCATTTTCCGTAATTTAAGTGCATCACAATAAAATAACTACAATGTTATACTTTCTACCATTGTTACAGACTCTGCTGAGGCGTCAAATTCTGGAGCAATTGCTGAGCCAAATGCAATATGTTCTCAGTCATCAATTGTAGCAACAGAGGTACGGTCNTTAAGTGCTTCACAATAAAATAACTATAATGTTATACTTTCTACCATTGTTACAGACTCTGCTGAGGCGTCAAATTCTGGAGCAATTGCTGAGCCAAATGCAATATGTTCTCAGTCATCAATTGTAGCAACAGAGGTACGGTCAGTAGAAGGAAAGAAGCGCACCCCAACTAAGCCTGTGACCTAGCATTTGCACACTCTCATTCTATTGGCTGATACGGTTGCTAGGAGATGATATGACTTTAATCTGAGAGAGAGCAAAAAGAATTTGCGAGCATGAGTGCAAGCATTTTTAAGTACAAGCAGAATGAAATCCTGCTCTCAAATTGAAAATATGTGCTCTTGATTTTTGGCAGTAAATTTCCCCCATAGGATGTACCAAGAATGTAAAAGTGTTAGGGTTTTTAAAGCTTTTGTATTGTTTATCACTCATGTCTGCTCTAAGTACTTTTCCCTCCTTACATGTTACAGGAAGGGAGATGGGGACAAGAGTGAGTTATGCTTTTATTAGCAGCATCTGGGGGCTATTCACCAGGTCCCCACTTCCCCTGTTTGTTTATAATCAAGACAAATGAACCCTAACCTTTCTGATTCCCCACACACACACACACACCCTGAATGTTTGTTGAACTATGTGTGAACCAGCATATATAAATAAAGAGGCAGGGGTGCTAATACTTTGTAATCTGTACTGGAAAGCTACCCTTGCCGCAAGTGAAAACTGACTCTGTGTCGTTCCTTACCTCTGAGTTGACTAAATAATACCTAACATAACTTGGTCCTTCGAAACCGGATATTATAAGAACTAAACTGATCTTATTTTTCTTGCAGTGACTGGCGGATCTCCGGGAACAGCCTGACGTCGAGTTAAGCGCTGCCGCACAGCCGCACCTAGGCCTGGTGGCTGAAAGTCCCGGTGTGTGACATTCGCATCTGGCCGGTGGGTTATCGTCTTGCTCGATGCCAGGTGACTCTGGGAGGTCCGACAGAGTCACCTAGAAGTCAACTCCAAGGTGAGATAGCTTTAAAATACAGTACATGAGATAAGAGTGAGCGCTATAGAAATAAAAGAAGAAAAGTACTTAAAAGTCGTTTGGTAGTGTCTCGCCGTAAGGAGACTGCATTGGGAAGGTTTTATTTCGCTGCAAAGAAATAGCGATAAATTTAGGTAGTTATCTCGCCGTAAGGAGATTAGAAACGACTAGGTGGTTCCACCGTAAAGTGAACTGGATAATTTGGTTGGTAGCATTTCGCTGGAAGGAAATGAAATGAAATGTTAAATAATAAGGGAGCTCATAAACTAAGCTAGGTTGACCATACATATTGCTGAAGGGACATAAATATGTTAAAATACTAACTGTGTGAGTGCTGTTGTATGTGTTTGGAAGACTAAGCATTTTTGGAAGGATCATAGCACAATTCTGCTGGTCTTGTGTTTTCTTTTGCCCAGAATAGAAAGACGTATTGGTGATTCTTGGAGATAAAGGTCGGGTTTAATCCCAGAAAATTAACACCACTGCGGATTAGTTGCTGTAGAAGGGCGCGTTAATGTCCTCTCCTTGAATCTCATGCCAGTGAATTTCTATCTGGGACATTTATAGTATTGGGAACTAAAATTAAACATCATGAGGAAGAAACAAAATAAACAAATTAACTTAGAAGGGGATGTAAAGTTTATGGAGAACTATGTAGAAGGAGCAGGTATGATCTGTCATAGATGGAATAAAAAACATGGTTTCTTGGGTAAACTAAATATTAACGATATCTTAAAATTACAAGGGGATTTAAAATTAGAAATACTGAAAACCAAGAAACCAACTAAAAAGGAACAGAGAAAGGTCGAGTATAAATTCTCAGACNAGAGAAAGGTTGAGTATAAATTCTCAGACAAATGGCTGGAACAAAGTAAGTTAAGAGACATGCAGAGGCAAGATAAGAAGGAGAAGCGAAAGGAGAAGCTGACAGCTGCGGTCTTGGTGCGCCCACATGAGGAAACAGTGGTCGCACCCAGACAGCGAGGAGCGCAGCCCCCTGCCATGCAGACAGCTGCACGACAGGCGGCTGCAGCACAGCAAATTGGAGGAGAGATGGAAGGAGCTGTAGCAGTTCCTAAAACTCCTATAAAAAAGCAAAAACAAATTAAGCAATCCTTTTAAAACAGAAGAACAGAGCTCTTCTAGTGGGTCCTGGTCTCCTAATTTCTGGGGGGGCACAGGAGTGCGAACTAGGAGTAAATATAAGAAAACTGCTCCCAGCATATACCCAGGCGAAGCCTTAACGGCTCATGAACAGAAATTTCATCCATCTGGAAAAAATTTAAAGGAAGACACATTTCCTCTAGTTGAAGTAGAAAATCCAAACGTAGGTGATTCTAATCACCGACAGCCGCCAACTATTCTAGTATATAGGCCATGGACACAGGAAGACAGAACTGCTGCCCTAAAGGGTATCCCACCAATACAGGAAGGAGTAGAGGAGTTTTTAGCAACTATTACAGAACTCAAAGGAAACTTCCATCTTAATGGCAGAGAAATGCTCCAGTGTTTTACCCAGCTGTTTGGCCATCGCTGGTGTAGAGTAGCAGGAGGTTTCACTGGATATGATGACAATGGTGACACATTAGCACATGGTTCACCACATTTAAGGGACGCCTTACGCTTACTCTTTGAAAGAATTTGAGGAGTTTATAGACAGACAGCAGATTATGGTAAAATCTCACAATGCAAACAGAAGGATGAAGAAGACCCACAAGATTTCTTGGATAGGATGAGACGTGTTTTTAGAGCAAACTCTGCTATACCATATGATGAAGCAGAGGCAGGAGCCTATCAGCAACAGTTGAAGAGAGCCTTTTTGCAAGGCCTTAAAATTGAACTCAAACGGTATATAGACAAACAATGGGTTCAACAAAATACAGGAACTGTTACCCAAGCCTTAGAATATGCGCAGCATGCCCATAAAACAGCAAAATAGGAAGACAGATACATTTGGAATGCAAGACGGCTTAATAGCATTGCATCGCTCAGGGACAAATAGGCAAAGGGGAAGGGGAGGATTCAGGAGTCACAGAGGAAGAGGAGGAGGGCCACAACACACCCACACACAGAGCATTGCGTGCCTGAGGTATGGCAAAATAGGGCATTATGCTAGAGAATGTAGAACAAATTTACAAAACCTTGGCGCAAGAGATGAAAACTGCTGGATCTGCAATGAGCCAGGACATTTTGCAAGAGAATGTAATGAAAAGCGGGTGTATAATCTCAATTTTACCCAGAATTGACAATTACAGCCACAGCCCCCACCTCCACCCCACTAGCAGAGAAAAACAGTAGTGAAATGGAGGAAGTTGACATACAAGCAGCATTGGAACTTATAGCACTGAGTAGGACGCAAGATTTGACATAT